GGGTCTCTGCAGCAGCAAGCACAGCCCCACACTGACTGCTCTGGGCTGTGCAGGCATTTGTGGTTCTGCCTGTCTCACACACACACACAAAAGTCTGGTGTAGTGCTGCCCTCAGGAAAACCCCGCAACCTTAAATTCAGGCCCCATCATGTAGTCATGAAAGAAGTTGTCAGTGAATTTGCCAGAAAGTATGAAAAATAGAAGAGCACAGTTATACACAAATACAGGTAATTACTGTTCTGACCACACATTCCAGATTAATTTGGTGCAGTGATAATAAAAATCATAAACCCACATAATGTTGTGCAAGAGAACACAGATTGACCAAGTGAAGTCAGACATTAATAGAGATAAATTCAAGAAGGTCAGCAGTGCAGTGTTTTACTCCTGCTAACACTTGTGGACAGTCTGACACTGACTTCATGTACAGGATGGACGTACCTGTGCCCCTGGGGCTGCCAGTGCCATGGTGGGCAGCAGGAACCACAGAGGATGGTGCCAGTGAGGCAAAGAGCCACAGCCACAGATTGGCTTCTGTATCTGGGCCAGCAGAATGGATTCTTTCATTCCATTTGCATGGCCCATTGCAGCTCAACAATTTCAGTGTCTGACTGCCCAGGATTCTCTCACACTAAACTTCACACTCGTAGGCAAAAAGTTGCTTTTAATCCTTGCAAATATGGAAACTGCACACCCAGAATATTGGCAAGGCAGAGGAATCCAGTTTTCAGAAATGATGGCAGAGGAGGAGTGGAAGGAGGAAGCATTTGCACACCAAAGCACAGGGGTAATGATGAAGGCCTGAAGTCCAGTGATTTCATATTTATTCTCTACACTGAAACTAGGAAGAAAAAAATTGAGTTTTAAGTGAGACTACATTAATTCAACTTTTGATTAATATATAGCAACTCAATCAAGTGCTCATGAAATGTCCTCTCTCTCCTAATCCTCCCAATTAAACACTATTTTTTGGCTGAATCTTCATATTTTGGAGTATTTTTGGCAGAATCCTAATTTTTTGCAGTTTGGGGAGGGGTTCATCTCACTATTTCTGAGGGGCTTTTTGCCTGAATCTCAGTGGTTTGGGTTTTTCTGGGCTGAATCTTGGTGTTTTGGAGAATTTATGGCCACAGGATGCCCGATGTGTTCTAGAGATGGACTTGGGCAGGAGGAACCCCCAAGCCAACGCACTCAGCCCTTGTTTTCCCCCCCATCAGGATTTGTCCTTCCCAAAGCTTGGGCGGATGGAGGAGGAGGCTGCGAGNTGAAGGGCTTCAACATGAACTCCACCCTTGTCAGGCACCGGCGTATCCACACCGGGGAGAGGCCCTACAAGTGTGGGGAGTGTGGGAAGAGCTTCATCCATAGGTGCCAGCTCTTTTCCCACCAGGCCATCCACACTGGGGAGCGGCCGTACAAGTGCATGGAATGCGGGAAGAGGTTTAAGACCAGTTCAGATCTCCTCGTGCACCATCGGACGCACACGGATGAGAGGCCCTTCCGCTGCACCGACTGTGGGAAGGGCTTCAAGCGGAACTCCACCCTGATCAAACACCAGCGCATCCACACCGGGGAACGGCCCTACAAGTGCATGGAATGCGGGAAGAGGTTTAAGACCAGTTCAGATCTCCTCGTGCACCATCGGACGCACACGGATGAGAGGCCCTTCCGCTGTACCAATTGTGGGAAGGGCTTCAAGCAGAACTCCAACCTCATCACCCACCGGCGCATTCACACCGGGGAGAGGCCCTACAAGTGTGGGGAGTGTGGGGAGAGCTTCACCTGGAGCTCTGCCTTGACCAGACACCAACGGACCCACCGGTAGAGGGAAGCCCTACCAGTGCCTTGACTGTGGGAAGAGCTTCGGCCACTGCTTCCACCCCCTGAATGAACCCCCTGATGGTGAGGCAACCCCTGGAGTCCAGTGACTGTCAGTGCATCGCTTTCAACCAGAAAGGGCCAGTCCCCTTTCACAGGGGCAGGTTCTGCCAACAGAACCCTTCCTGGGGATGTGTGGAGATTCCTGCCTTGGCTGGGGACCCCCCAAGGTCACTCCTGGAGGTTGAGAGCAGAGATCTCTCCATGAGCGTTGGTCTGGGGGAGTTCCATCCATCTCTAATTAAGAATTATTGCTTTGGTGCCAGCTTTAGTAGAATTGCTTCAACAATTGCTTTAGCGTAGAGCCCTGTCCTATCTTATCCTGTACTCCTGGTAATTTTACTGTTTCTATTGTGCAGTAAATAATTCTGATGAAGATCTTTTGTCTGATCGTTTGTAACCCTAAATAAATTCCTTTCTATCAATAGATCTGATTTGCCATCATTAAAACCTGGAGGACAAAAATGATTCAGTCACACCTCTGTAATTCCTCTGAACTGAAAATGTTGGCATAATTCAAGGCTGAGATTGGATTCAGCAGCCCCCAGCACCCCACAGTCAGTTGGGAGCTCGGGGGGCCAGCCCTTTTTGCCAAGCTGCTTGTGCCCAAAGACCTCATGGGACCGTCAGAGCCACCAGACCACCCCTCCTTTTCTACCCTTCTCCCTGTTTTTCCCATTTTCCCATTGTCCCCTTAATCCTCATTTTCTTCCCTGAACAGTTTTTGGGTCCAAATCACCACTTTTTGCTCCCTCTCCTGTGGCTGCTGAAGGAGAAAATGAGGCTGCACACACAGAGTTCCATTGCGGGACTTGTCCGCCCGTCTCTCTGGCATCCCCCTTTCATTGTTGTTCCTTTGGAAACAGCACCTGGGCTTCATCTTTTAGTCCACTGGGATTCCCAGCATGGCCCCAAAGCAGTGCCCTGATCCCACACATTCCCCCTCCTCGTGTGCTGGCTGTGTTCAGCTACCAGAGAAAAACACAGGCTGCCATGCAGAGCGTTCCAAGTGGTTTCCTCTTTGGCAAACAGCACTCTCTGGATGGAAAACACCAGTCAAGGCCAAAACACTCCTTGTTGATCCTGATTAACTCAATGCAGCTGTTGCTGCCTTAACTTGTTCCCACAGAAATTCTCAGGGTTCCTTTGGTTCCAGGAGGCCCCACATGTCACAATGGCCCCTTGATTTCATGAGCTTCCACAGTCTGCAAAGGTTCCTTTACTTCCATGAGGCCCTGCAGTCCCCAAATGCCCTTTGGATTCTCAGAGATTTGCCATTGTCCCAGGGTCCCTTGTGCTTCAGTAGGAGCTGCAGTGGGACAGTGGCCCCCTTTGGTTCCGTGAGCTCTGCAGTGTTCCAGGAATCT